CCCTCCGGCCGCCCCATCTCCGCCCTCAGCGCTCCGCCCTTCTCCCCCTCCCCCCGAGGCTGCGGCCCGCCAGCCCGGCCCACCTCCCTCATTCCCGGCCCGCTCCTCCCGCCCCTGCCGCTGCTGATCTGGGACCCACCCTTCCTAGGCCAGTGGCTCGCGCTCCCGCGCGCTCTCCCAACACGCTCACTCCCTTCCACCCCGTTTGCCAGCTCGCCCTGGCACCTAAGCCTCCCGGCCCAGGGCACCGCGCGGCAGGCTGCGGCCCGCCAGCCCGGCCCACCTCCCTCATTCCCGGCCCGCTCCTCCCGCCCCTGCCGCTGCTGATCTGGGACCCACCCTTCCTAGGCCAGTGGCTCGCGCTCCCGCGCGCTCTCCCAACACGCTCACTCCCTTCCACCCCGTTTGCCAGCTCGCCCTGGCACCTAAGCCTCCCGGCCCAGGGCACCGCGCGGCCCACCTTCGGGGGAGCCTCTCCCGGCCGCGGGCACCTCTCGAGAGGGCGCACGGCTCGAGAGCGCGAACCCTGGCTGGGCTGAGCCAGGCGGCTCCTGTACAGCCTGGCTCTCCGAAGCCGCCCGGGTCATAGGCTCCCGTCGGAAGTGTTTGAGGGCCGGCCGTGAGCGGCTCCTCCTGCAGCTCTGGCCTGGCTGGCGCACCCTAGGGAGACGCTGAGACTACAATGCCAGGGATGTCTTACCCGGAGCCTCCTCCCGGCTTCCGCCCCAAACCTGTGCCTTCAGCATGGAGTTCCCACCAGAGGAGGCTGAGGTTGGCAGACTGTCCCCAAAATGCCCAGCATGTGGGGCCCTAGCTGTGGACAGTCTGGTCCCAGTTAATGAAAGCCAGTGACACATCCTGACCACCCAGGGAGAGAGTTCGAATCCCAGCCAAATGCTTCGGTAACAGGTCACCTTCCTGCCATGGGTTCTCCGAATCTCGCAACTCAGAGCGACAGTGCCCCTGGACATTGTATCAACCCTTTGAGGGTGGAGGTCTTGGTACTAAATAAAACCTTTATCTCAGGCGAGACATGTGTCCCAGGTAACCGCTTAAATCATACACATCTGTTCCATAATGCCTACGTTGACTGTGTCTCTTCACCCAAACCTCTTCTGCCAAGACTTCACTCAGTCTTATTTACTCACCAGACTGGACGCTCTTGTGTGTGGGGGTGTTCCTGGCCCTGGCTCACTCAATGGATCCCTTGTGATTGGAGGATAAGTGAATGTGTTTGTTGACTGCTCGCTTTTGTGACTTAAGGTTGTAAACTGGTGAGGGCCAGGACCAGATTGGGGTTCCTAGTTTGTACCAGGCACAGCATGGGGCCCAAAGAGATGGGCCATCAATGCTTTCTGAAGCTGATGGAGCTAATTCAGCCAGAGGCAAATGCCTACCTCTTGGTCCCCAGAACTCAGTTCCACGGCTGCATGTCCTGAGTGAGGAAGAAACTATGGAAGCAGCCTTAGCTCATCTTTGATAGATCGAAAACAGAGCTGGTGGTGCTAGGTACTGCTGCAGTCACCAACCGAACTTAGTGGGTGTTAACTCTCCAGTACTGGGAATAGATTTGTAGGGAGCCATAAACTCACCTTTAACTCCAGTTTGCAAATGGAACCTGGAGGAAGGAAGTAGCCAGGGTTTTCTCACTGTGAAACAAACTGTCCTATAAAGGGAACAAGCCTGTAGCTCTTCATCTATTTACCCCAA